TTGTATCTCCAGTTTCTCTGCATCTGTGTATTTTCCCAAGTTTCGATATGTTTCTGCTAGATTTGCCATGGCTCTAATTGTATCTGGGTGTTCAACTCCAAGAATTCTTTGTTTGCATCCAGAACTTGCAAATGCAGCTTCTCTGCCTCTGTGTATTTTCCCAAGTTTCCATATGTTACTGCTAGACTTTGCCATGGCATCAATTGTACCTGGGTCTTCCACTCCAAGATATTCTGTTGCTTGCTTCCAGAACTTCCATCTCCAGCTTCTCTGCCTCTGTGTATTTTCCCAAGTTTCGATATGTTTCTGCTAGATTTGCCATGGATGTGATTGTGTGTGGGTGTTCCACACCAAGAATTCTGTTGTTAGCATCCAGAACTTGTATATGCAGCTTCTCTACCTGTGTGTATTTTCCCAGGTTTTCATATGCTGCTGTCAGACTTTTCATGGCTCTAATTGTGTCTGGATGTTCAACTCCAAGAATTCTCTTTCTTGTATCTAGAACTTCATTCTCCAAGGCTTCTGCCTCCTTGTAATATCCTTGTTCCTGCAACAGCATCCCAAACTTCTCACAAGCATCATCCAAGTAACTGACCCCATTCTCAGTACTTTCTGATCTGGAATACTCCATATTTGCTCTGATATGTGTTACTAAGGCCCTCTGGAATGCATATGGCTGGTCTTCATGCCATCTGAGTGAACAAGACAAAGTAACATATGCCATTAAGCAACATTGTCTCCTCTCATTTAATAATATTCTGTCTCTGCCCCAGGTATGGACAAGTGGATGCATGGCATACACACAATCAGATGGACCATTTTTAATCAAGGAGAAGGACAGTAATATTCGAATTCCCTCTCTAAAAATAAAGTTATCCCAAGCACCTGTTTTGTTGAGAGGAAGTAATTTTCGATCCAGCATAGAACTTGCAAGCGGCAATTCAGAATTAGAGACTTTTTGATGTTTTTGAAGAGCAGCATAAGAAAATATTTCCTCTGTGATTCCCTCATGATGAAAGAAAGGAAATAAATTGAGCAGAAGCATTGCACTATTGGCTGCATTGGCTCTGTGTAGATCACCACATTCAGCCCTCTTCTGAATTTCTTTGTATGATAATTCCCAAGTTCCATAGACACTTGTATTATACTTGGAAGCTCCAGTGAATTCAGAATGGGATAATAATGTTTTTCGGTGATCTGAATATTTTGCAAGGTAGTCTCCAAGACTGGTGGCCCCAGATGCAATGTAAGCACCAGCCTGATCAATAGCAAGAGGAAGGCAGAAGAGCTCCTTCACAATCTTAAGAGCTTCAGCTTGAAACTCCATTGAAGATGGATCTAAGTAACTGGCTTTTAGAAGTAATTCAATGGCATCATTCTCATCCATCTCACTTATTTCAACAGAATTCTCAAAGGAAGTCAGAGTCCTCATGGTAGAGTTGCGACTAGTTATCAGAATATTTCCCCCTCTTCCAGGTGGAAGATAAGCCTCCAGCTCAGCAGGCGATAGAACATCAGCATTGTCAAAGACCATTACATAGTTCTCTTTCAGCAAGCCAATCCAGTAAAGAGCAGATTCAGGCGAGCCATCCAGTCCACTAGACTGAGCAGCAGGGAGATTACAGATACCCTTGAGTCCCTGTGTGATAGTACCAACTGAGGAAGCATCAATCCAGAAAACAGGTGAGAAACTGAAGGCAATTTAAATTTTAGAGATGAAGGTTGGACCTGCCTCTTTCACAATACTCACCAGTCAGACATTTCCTCAACAAACTTCAAGCAAATCTGAGTCTTTCCAATACCCCCCATCCCGTACAACAAGAAGAACTTTCTCTTCTGAGCTGAGTCATTTGCATTGGAAAAATGCCTCTTGAGGGTAGCAATGACTTCTGTGCGGCCTGTGAACCGATTGCTCGGGTTTGGCATAAGGGGAATGACCCCATCGGACGTCGTCCTACTGCCATAATTGTTGTGAATGTTAATCTGCAAGAGATCCAACACCATCAGGTTGATTCCTTCAGTAAACATTATACTCACTTCATTGAATGTGCTGTTGGTAGCTACAAAGTGATGAGCTCCCGCGAAAAGGTTCGTTCCGCTCATGTTGAAATACCGAAGGTGGACAGGTTCAGGATGAGGGAAGGAAGGAAAGCCTGATGAGAACGCCCGGAGTCCAGAAGACCCCCAATTATGCCACGCCTGTTGGTCTATTTTTATATCAAGCACGTGCTTGGGCTTCTCGTCTTCGTCTTTTCCAGCTTACCCTCTAGGCTCTGTGGTCAGTAGGCTCGACCCTCTTGGATGTTAGCTCTGTCTAGCACCTACATCGTTCACGCCAATGGAATGACGTCCCCTCAGGGCGTTGAAGGCGTCTATTAGGTGATGGTGAGCGGTGCTTCGATTCGGCCCGCATCTTCATGAAATCGTAGAGCATCCCTCAAAAGTTTCTTGGACATTAAGGTACGCTGTGTGCCCCCTGGATGCAGCAGCTTCGGCTGACAATCTTTCGGGTAGCAGTCATTGCAGCTGTGCAGCGTCAAGCTTAACTGAAGTCCCACCCCCCTAGTCGCCGAAATCAGAATACTATACGCGACCTACCTTTCATCGCTTTCCTCTTTACATCCCTTGCGGTGTCACCATTCCTCGCAGTCAACGCCCAGACTTACAGGTTCCTCGTGGAACAAGCGACAGTGTCTGAAGGCTCCAAATTTGCCTTCTGTACTTCTTGCAACACCGGTTTTCGACCTAAGGGCAACTCGGTTTCGGGGACAGGGTTGCTTTGGGGGCAGATCTCGACACGGTAGATTCGCTTCCACAAGACCTCGTTAGCGCAGATGTTTTGAGGGAGTGCTCGCAATTAAGAGACGCCGGACTTAGAGCAGTCGATGGATTTGATGGTGGCGATTTTATCAGGCTTTAGGGAGACCCTAGAGTAAGTTTGTCTTCGTTTCCCTCATGTCGGTAGCCAATGAATTCACACGCAGCTAGCTCGACTTACCTTCTTTCGAAGGTTACAGCGTGTTCTCTCGCAGTCCCTCCACCACATTTCACCGCAACGACCGAGGTTCGCATAATTTCACCATTTAAGTGAAAGAATGAAGTTCCCCCCTTCGTGCCCCTTCGCCAGTTACCGCTCGTGTTCGCGGGCCCATCCTACTTTCATTCACTGAGCGTGTCTAGAAGCTGATGGCGCTGACGAGAAAACGTCACGAACGTGCCCCAGGAGGTCGCCAGCTTGATTGGTCCCCCCGTTAGGGGATCCTGATGCGCACATGTAGACACTCAGCATGAATCGACACTCTGCATCCAAATTATGATTGGAAAGCTGGTCAATCTATCATTCTACGATTCCCAATGTGGCCGCTTCCACCGTCATCGGACACCCCCTAGCCATCCCTTGCCTTCCCCCAATCAACGACGAACTGCTACCTTACTTCGCAAGGACGCTAATGTCCTCCGAAGTGGCACCGCACTACTTGCCTCCCAGTCTCGACTGCACCCCCACCACCTCTTTTCGAGCACAACGTTCTTGGATCGTCTCATCATTCTCCCGGCCGATGATAGTCGTTGGGAGGGCTTTTCACGATACGGACGCACGCCTTCTTTGTTCCGGTGCGAGGTGGAGGGCGGATCGTGATGGAGGCACACGATGGATGGGTCGAGGTTATCGTCTTTTTGTTTCTGCAAACCCATCGCATCTGCAACCGATTCTCTGGGAAAGTACTACCAAATGACGACCGTACCGTCAACACCCTCTGAAGGTCGCGCAGAGGAAGGGCGAATCATAGCCGTTTGAAGCGGAGAAGGTTGGTTGGGCAGCATGCGAAAGGACAGGTGCTGTGGTGATTTCGGACGACGGCAAAGCCGTTATACCGCTGAGACGTCGTGGAGGTGATCCACCGCGGGCTCTCCCCCGTTGTACGCGATTGGGGAGGTGTCATCGGGGTGGTAGTGGCAATGGAGGCCCAACCTTGGATGATCGCTATGGGGCATGCTCGAGTTTTCGATGTCGGAGTTGGCGGATGGACGAATGAACAGACGGTATTCCTTGAATCCTTCTGGTGTGGTGAGACATAGTTACATCTACTTAGATTGAGTTGGAAACACGTAAAACAAAGCTCACAGATTTGTCACAGATAGTCCCCGTCCCTGTGCTCCCAAACGGTCACGCCTTACTCTCTCCAATTGTATGGCATGGAAGTTGGACCAACTTCGAGGTCGTAAAACAACGTACTACGCAGGATCTACGCTGCAAGGACCTACTATGGGGTTTCAATTTGTCGGATTGAAGAAAACGTAGAACGAAACCCGCTTTGAAAGTTTGAGGACCGGCCCCTTCACCGAGCCTGAGGAACGAGTATTTGCGCAAAACTGCACCATTTCAAATTGTCATAGCAAAAGCGCGATTGGCACGAGGTCGAGTCGTACCAGTATTTGGCTACCATGTGGACGCGTTTGGCGTTGAACAGCTTTGAAGTCGCGCTCAGCAATGATGCGATTGGATGCGATCGTAAACTGTGGTCAGCAGTTCACAGTATACGATTGTGAGGCACTCGGCGAAGGCTGTTCTTGATGCGCACAAGTATTCAATACTGACCCGAGCATTCTAAAGCTTGATGGATTTACAAGTATAAACGGGCACTAACGGTATATGGATTTCACCAAGGAAAAAATTGCATATAAAAAGAGAATATTCATTATAAATTATAGCTTCAGGTATAATAAGCCTTGCGGGACAAATGGGCGAAAAGTTTGAACACAAGCGTCACGCCGTCGACAATCCTGATCTATCTATGGGCCTATAGTCTTCACTATAATGACAAGTCGTTCCTTGATTGACGATGATATCCACGTGCAGCAGAGGGGTCGAAATGATATTGCCATGGTCGTTACTCAGGCTGCCGCATGATACAGTATTGGAAGCAGGGACAGGATTAAGTGGTTGTAATTCTGAGTTTGAGGAGTTGGACAGCGTACAGATGCGGTGAGTTGCGATTATGTCAGTCCCGTGTTAAACCCATTATTTCCTCCATTAAAATTTGAACGTCGGCCGGGCCTCTGATCGGGCGAGTTTCAAATCCTGGGAGGCCATTGGGAAATTCCTTCACAACTTGAAGCGCGTCATAGAGGAGTCGAGCATTGTAAAACAGCGGATCTGTAGTATTGGTGGCCAGGTTGCTGAAGAAAGCTTTCCAAAACTCGATAGAAGTCGACGCCGAGACGAAGGGTGGTGTAGAGCCAGGCCTAGACAGTGTACCCTCATACATAGTGGTGGCAATCGGATAATTGTTACAAAGAGCCTGATTAGAGTCGGTAGAAGCCGATCGGGAGATGTTATACTGCGTAGAGCTTTGTCTAGACATCATGCTGGGAGACATACTAGTGCTCGCAGGCGGGTTGACAAGCGGCAGAGAGTGCAGATCCAAGGTCGGAGTCAGTGGACTAAGAAGCGCACCCCGGTCGGCATTAGGATAACTAAAATTGGGTAGTTGGTCAACGCTTTGGCAAATGCCCTCCAATCGCTTCCCGCTGACCTAACATAGATTAAGATAACATGTGAATAGATGGGGGCAAAATAGATAACAAAAGTGCGGACCTCAAGTTGACGGGAGTACGTGTATAAGGGGCTTCAAAGCTTTCATATTGCGCCGGTGACAGATGCCAATTGCTGGCAGGAGTGGCGGGATTTCGATGGGGGTTAGACATTGCAACTGCGAGGATTTCGAGCAAGGGCGATGATCGGCTGGGAGGAAAAGAAATTGCCTGCCTCACAGCATTAAACCCAGCATTATATAGGGCTACTTTAGCCGATTTTCTCGAGTCATCCTCGAAGACAATTTCTCCGTTAGGGGTAAAAATGCATCGACCATGGCAGGCTGCAGTTACAACCCAAATGAAGCTTAAAGTATCGCGTTGTTACGATGTTCGGCAACGTGTGCAAGTTCGTGCATACTGACTCCGAGTTGCCCGGTATCAGTACCTTGAACAGCTTTGAAACAATCAGTCGCGGAATCGTGACACAGAAAGACACTCAGGTTACATAGTTTAATAATAACGCAGCGCGGCAAGCCGCATGGCCCGCTACAGTCCATTTTAATTGAATGTTAATTTATACTAGAGGCTGACACTTATCAGTGGCAGCGGTCACCTTGCTTGCTGACAATACAGTTCCTGTAGCTCTCGGCGCTACTTAACAAAATCTGCACTCAGTAACTAAGAGTCTCCCTGCTCGTCGCCGAACCGCGTCGATTTTTTTTTTTAAAACATGAAAATGGAACTGTATATATGAGTACTGTTGAGTGGTTTATAAGAATCCCCTGCTCAATGCTCAAGAAGAGCATAGGGAGGAGACAGGGTAGTAGTACCTAACGTAGCGGGAATGATATCCATGTAACGGTTCAGTCCCAGCTAATGGCATATGACCGTGTGAAGAAACGTGATGTCTCAGTGGCACGTGAATTTTTTCCCACCCGACGACCCACCACAAGACCCACTACTAACGTAGCGGGAATTAGTTCCTTCAAGGGATGTGCAGTGTGCACGGGGTTAGCCACGATGACGAGTGACAACCTACCTGAGTTCTTCGTATGGGGGATTCTAATCCAGACTGACTTGCGCAGTGTTTGCTGTGCGGTGTGTCGTGAACTGAAATCCATCGCGTTGGTTCGTAAAAGGAACGTGGTATTTTAAAAGTGTCACGAGGTCAGATCTTGTATACGCGTTTGGTTCAACAGCATGGTCTAATATTAAACGTTGAACGCTCATCGTGATTGCAAATTACTTAGGATCTCAGCAGCCAGTATCTTATCATGGAATGTCTTGATACGCGCATTGGGTTTGCATCATTATTAGATTTACAAAGGGTTGCACAACGTTCAAAGAAGATAATACATGACCAATTATTGTAGCCTCGGTCATGTACCTCAGATGGTAAAATCCGTAGGTTTGCATGGAGATGAGAGAAAAAAAGACCCGCGACGAGCGTAACGCTGCGACAAAATCACAGCAGACCAACAGCAGACCCGGTGTTGCTAAACAACGCCGCCGCAGGGGCAGACTTCTGGATGTGTCATGGCCCAATAACGCTTCCCACCCAAGTTGTCCAAAGTCACGGCGTAGTCCGCAATTCCACCTGGCCCGCAATCTACCGCTTCCATCGTGATCAACGGTGAGTTGTGAAGAGCTTGCAAACTGAACGACTTCAACGGAAAGCAGTTTCGACAACACCAGAACGAGCTCCGAATAAATTCCTCGTAATCTTCGACGTGATCCGGGCCTCTGGTCATACAAGATTCGTGCGTTGGTAAGCCATTGGGAAATTCCTTCACCAACGCGTCGTAGACGAGTCGAGCGTTGGTAAACTCTGGACCAAATTTATTCACAGCTACGGAGTTGAAGAAAGCGTTCCAAAAGTCGTGAGAAGTCGATTGTGAGAGATTGAACTGAGTAGAACCACGCCTGGAGTAGTCGGTCGAAGCAGAAGAGATATTAGACTGCGTAGAGCCACGCCTGAAACTTCCACTTCCAAAGATAGTACTCGCAGGCGAGTCCGGGGGCAGTGAGGCGCAGGAGAGGCTGAGGCTGGGAGACCGACTGGGAGTTGCAACCCCGTCAGCATAAGGATAATCGAGACCGAGGCCTCGGGAGGAGCCTTGGCTCCTTCTCGAAGATAGCCTCCGGTTGTATCCCGCTGGCCTAAAAATAAGACGCGTGAATACGTGGACTGCGATAGATAGATAAAAAAGCACAAACCTGACAGTAGAAGACTTATAAGGTGCCTCGAAACTTTCGTACTGCGCTGGCGAACGATCGCTTACAGTAGAGGCGATACTGTGATTGCGATGAAGGGTAGGCATTGCAACGGTAAAATTGTTGGGTGGAGTGATAATGTAAAATTGTCAGGTGGAGTGATTGTGCGGCGGTCGGGAGAAAAGGGCTGATTGACTTACTCTTCTCCAGAATTTAGACGGGCATTATATAGTTTTTGAGGTCAATGCGCCGATTGCCCTCATTGGCAGAGAGAGGCCACTTGCGTCATCATCCACGCAGAACAGACAATGCGTGAGGCCACTCCAGCCTTGAGAACACAGTCGTGGCCACCAAAATAAAGAAAATGTTTCGCATTGTGTGGCTAAAGATGGAAGGAAACGCACGCTGATTTATGATTCGCCAAGGGAACGGGGCCACTTTGAAGCCGCTGTGGCCTGTGGGATAGCGAGCCATTGTGTCAGGCTGCCATAAAGAAAGCTTCGTTGAATCTTTCCCCTTTGGCGCTCTTGAAGGGAAAAGGGGAGAATCTACAGTAGGAAAGGCACCTCAGTGAATTGGCAGCATTATTGGCTTGCGAAGAAATGCAAAGTGATGTCTGTTTATATCTAGTGTCAATGCCAATTCAAGGACACCGCCACCAAGTGAACATCCATACTTGGCCCCAGGGAAACTTGACGACAGGCGAGCGAGGAAGAAAAATGCAAAGGACGTGTATTTTCTATGATGGTACTCAAAATGCAAATGCGAAGGGGTAACGAAACAATGCAGAAAGGTGGCAGTGGGGACAAACATAACAAACGACGAAAACGATGCGCACATATAAAAAAACGAAAAAGACAGAACCAGGACTTTAATAATATTTCACTCGTCAAACTCGGGGTCAAGGCTTGTAGTCCGCAAAATATGGGTGTAGGAGCGCGCGTTTTGCTGTAAAAATTCAACAAAGCATGAGCTTGATTCGGACCAATGGGAAGGAAGAAAAGGGCTGACCAGAAATACGTTTTGCCGAGTCATACGTCAGAGTGCGCTAGATAAAGGAAGGAAGAAGGATAAGAAACAATGGCCCTTATCTAGGTAATAAGGCGCTGAAACACCCGTACGTACCCTGAGCATATCAAGGCCAGCCTCATCCAACGTTGTCACAATCCTAACCATATCTTGTTTTGACCACTGTGGGAAGGTGGGTTTATAGTCCGGAAGACCGCTAACGCCGGGCCACAGTTCCTCGTTGGGCGTCCCAAGAATCCTGTCGAGTTTGTCAAACGCCGTCAGTCAGCAGGAAAAAAAACGAGGCTGGGAGGGGGAAGGGAGCGCTCTTGCCTGAAAATCTTGAAGATCTGATCAATCTCAGAGTCACCTGGGAATAGAGGCTGCCCTTGCATCGCCATTTCAGCGAATATACACCCGACCGACCACATATCGATACCCGTGGAATAGTGACGGGCGCCAAGAAGGACTTCTGGTGCACGATACCAGAGGGTGACGACCTAGACATCAATGGACATAAGTTGTTCATTTGAAGGCAATGTAAATGGCTCGTACTTCATGGGTATAAGTCCGCATAGGTATTCCAAAGGCGCGAGCAAGACCAAAGTCGGCGAGTTTTAGGTTATCACGTTTGTCAATGAGCAGATTCTGCGGTTTCAAGTCCCTGTGGAGAATGCGATGTGAATGGCAATAAAGAAGACCCATAGTAAGCTGGTGAGTAAATTTCTGGCGGGATAGAAAATAATCAGTAAAGCGAATGTGAGGTTCGTGACAATGCGTCACGTGATACCATGTCACTCTGAGCGTCATTGGCAAAAAAAAACGGTAGCATCGCCCTCAAGTCGAGCTAAAACCAAAAAGAGGGGAGATAGGGTGACAGCCACAGCAAGGCCGCCCATCAAGCTTCTTTCATATGCTCGATTGACGCCTATCTTCGCGTCAAAACGCGTAAGGTTGACGCGTCCGTGAAGAACACATGACCAACACAAGGCGCCCAGGGGGAAAGAATGTTGATGATGAGGCAAAGTGAAAGCTAACCTTGACAATTTGAAGAGTAATAGGCGTACGATTATGGTTTCCAGTCTCGATGTAGCGCTTGAGGTCGACATCCAAGAACTCGAACACGAGGTACAGCTTCTGGTCGGCGTGGACGATGTCGAGCAGTCTATATTGAAGAGTTGGTCAGCACGAAGTGATGGAGCGAAGCACGGACTCACTTGACGATGTTATCATCCTTCAATTCCTTGAGCAAACTGATCTCTCGAATAGCGGTGCTCGGCACGCCCTCGTCTTCTGCTTCGAGCCTGATCTTCTTCAGAGCGACGATCTGATTGTTGCTGGTGTCGCGTGCTTTGTAGACGACCCCGTATGTCCCTGAAAAGAAGAGAGAAGATGTTAGTGATGGGAAGAAGGAGAGGGAAAGTGGGGGGAAAAAAGCGGCTGACCTTCTCCTACAGTTCATGTGCCCGGGGATGGGTGGTCATACATCCCCGAAACAACGAGGAACACATACCGACTTTCTCGATCTTTGCATAACTAGACCACGGAAACGGCTGTCAGTGCTTGGTTGTAATGTACGACAACATGATTTGCTAACCGATCCATAAGAGTGGTCGATGAGGCTGACAACTCGGGTCAACTTGGGGCGAGAAGCGGGCGACGGTGTCGGTGGTCGAGCTTGGACGGTGGGGGGTGGGCGTCGAGTATATAAGTGGGAGACTTGTGGTGGGGAGTGCACAACGACAACCAACCTGGTGGTGCGAGTTATAAGGGCAGTCAATCACGTAAGAAGCGATCGATTGTGGGTATGACTCGGAGGTGCGGCAACGCCGGAAACAAAGAGGAAAAAAAATAAGAAAGATGGGACAGGAAGAATGACAGAAAGAGGGAAAAGAAACAACGGACAAGTCACTGCCAATTTCCGTTTCTACTCATTTAGTCCAGATGCACAGCCACTTGTCATACTACACGAAACATTTATATCAATCATGCATGCACAACCCATCTTGCATTTCAATATCTAAAAAGATCCGGCTTTGGTGGCCTTGGATACGCTTGCTTCGCGCAGCACCATTTTTCCGGTGGGCGCCGTCGGGGTTGTTATATATGGTGGTTTGTCGGTAGCATTTCAGGCTCTAAAATGCAGAGAAACTCCCTGAGAGAACACGAGCGATATAGGCGTGGCGTGCGCAAAGATATCGACATGGGCGCCCGTTCTTAGCAACGATCTGTTACTTCTGACAGGGTGGATGAAGTGACGCTGTAAACTCCGGTACAATCGATGGCCGCCACCTTGAAGGCTCACGGCTAGCTCGCATCGTGGAGATAACGTTCAAGAACGTATATACTTTTGTGAAGATGGCTTTATACCTCAGTCAGGATGCTTGTCATACTTGAAGTATTTAGGCACAGGTACGCACACCCACTGATTGCCCTCAGCCAGGACGCGGCCAATTAATCCCTTGGTCCTCATGTCGCCGAGCGCGCGTCACGTCGACATATTGCCCAGGCCAAGGGTCTTCACCTATAAAAATAGGACAAGAGCCATAAAATGGAGCCTCCAGCAAAAAAGAAGGTAAACTTACTCCGATCGATGATATTGATATCCCCATCGTCGTCCTCGCCTTCTTCGTCTGGGTCCCAGCGGTCCAAAGCAGCAGCGGTAGGGTTCTTTTCTCGATCAATGGCGAGATCGGAGAGAAGGCGGTTCATAGAGTCCTCCTTGACCTCTTGCAGGGATTTATCACGCCTCTGCCGCGCCTTTTCCAGCTCAGGAAGGTATTCCCTGCCATCCCATGTTAGTAGTGAACATATGAAAAGGCGGGGAGCCAAGGACCGCACTTTTCATACTCCTCCCTCGAGGCATCGACCGCTTCGAAAAATTCTTTGATACCATCCCCGGTCATACTCGACACACCAACGGTCTGAGAAAAAAAAAGAGAGAGATCCATTGAGGATGCGATCTGGCAATAAGAGGACGAACTCGCCTTCAAATTTTTGTAGAACTCGTCAAGAACAAGGCTCATACTATTCATGAGACTGTTCATGTACGTCGGTTCACCCTCAGCATCCCTAGTGCCACTATGGCTTGCCAATGCAGCCTGGAACTCCTCAAAGTCAGCCATCCAATCGAGGGCAAAACCATGCGGCTGAACATCCGTCTTATTGAAAACAAGAATAAACGGAAGTTTCGTCTTGTACAGAATGCTGAAAACAAAATGAAAACGATCAGGCTCAAAACCCGCTGAAACAAATGGGTCCGCGGAGGCCGGAAACGAAGAGACGAACCTGCAAGCATACAACATGTTGGACATGAATGTCGCAGGGGCAGTCGTTCGTGGTGTATCAATGATGTACGCCACCACCGTCGGGAGAGATGACGCCACAGCGTCTGTGATGATAGCACCAGACGCCGACCACGTAAAAATCTCGATTTGACCTGGGGTATCCAAGATGACATAGCTAGATGCTCATAAAACCGTCACAACACCGTAAAAATAGGGCGGAGGAGAACCCACTCGACACTATCGGCCCGCTTCTCCACCAAATCCAGGACCTGGTCAAACTTTGTAGTAAACAGATTAAGACAAGTCAAAATTCCGCCGTTCGGGCCTAGATTGTATCTTCGAGGGAGGACAAAAAGCTAGTCACCACACATCACAAGTGAAGCAAAGAGTAGCCGTGAAACGAACTGCTTCATAACTTCCTGGTAGTTAACTGTATCCCTAATATCGATGTTCGCTTCGTAAGCAACGTGTGTGACAGCTGGGTCGAGGTTGAGGATGTATGGCGGCGTTGGAGGGTTTTGGGAGTGCAGATACGAGTTGATGCGTTGGACGAAGGTGGATTTTCCAGCGCCGGCCATACCTATCGTGATTATTGTGATGGGCTTCTTCTTTGTTGAGGACGACGCCGCTGACGATGGAAGGTCCATGCTGCTCGTCGATGTTGCCATGGGTAAAGATAAGATCCAAAATGAGGACGCGTTCTGTGACATTTGCGTGACATCAGCACATGATTTGTACATATCTTATCTGATAAATTCGTTCAATCTTCGGTGCCGGATTTCAAGTCTCCAAACAGCGCCCAATGCCCATCGCACAATGTCGTCTGCTTTCTGTTTAACCACTATCGTCAGCCGTCATGGCTGCAGAGAGAATGTAAGTGAGCCAGCTGTACCCGATCCCACGACTTACTCAGCCGCCTTTCGATTATCAGTCGTCAGCGGATGATGAGGGACCTATACGACGAAGCTGACCTCGCAATGCAAGCAGATCCGCGATTTGGTAAAACAAAGTATCCTGTGGGGACGACGTTCAAGAGTAGGTGAGAGCTTCGCTCATATCAACGCGTCTTGCTCGGGCTGATGTGTCAAAGAGAGGAGTGTGCCAGCACTGGGGTTCACGCGATCCATTTCGCTGGAATCCACGGGTCAAAGGATCTAGGAGCCTTTTCGATTTGCTTATCTGGTGGATACGAAGACGATAAAGATCAAGGGGACTTTTTGTGAGTTCCCACCAAGGAAGATGCTCATGATCCTCACGTTTTTTTATATAGTAAATATACTGGGACAGGTAACTTACTGCCATAAAAAATTGGACTGTGTCTCTTTTGCTCAAATGAATATCCTTCCTACAGGGGGCCAGAGTGACTCATTCAGTGTAATTATTCTTCTATGCTGACGGTGTCACTTGCTAACTGAGAACATAGAGTGGCGGTCGTCAAGTCACGGACCAGAGGTTTGATCACCCCAGTAACGCCGCGCTCAAGGTATGTCCATCTCCTCCTCTAAGTGTCATCGGAAAGCCAACATCTCTCTCGCCCTCCTAGAAGTCAGTAGAAACAAAGAGACCAGTCCGCGTCGTACGGGGTCCGAACGACAAATCACAGTATGCTCCTGCTGAAGGGTGAGCGCACGCATTCAATTTTCCTTTCTATGATTTAATTTCACCCAGATACCGCTACGACGGATTATACGTCGTCGAGAAGGTGAGTCCCATTACCTTCCCTCAAGCCAACCAAATTGCTAAACGGTTCTCCTAAGGCATACATCGACAAAGGGGTGAGTGGATACGCGATTTGTCGATATGAGCTTCGCGTATGTGTTATGTTTGTCTATATCCATGGTGTGTACTGACGATAAGCCAGCGGGTACCCGGCCAACCGCCACTACCGACTAAATACAGGTGGATATCGTTAGATTATACGATTTGACTATTCTGATTGTGGATGTCCAGATGAAAGTGAGAGGGAAGCTGGTTCAACTTGAAGTTTAAGTTGTCTTGTAGGTTCTGAGCTGCAGAATCAGAACGATGTACGTATATTGTAAAACAATCGGATTTATTCAAGGAATGGGCCCGGGAGCACATTTTTATCACTGTTTATTTTGGCTGATTAAACAAATGTTACGGAAGGGAGTATTATATATCATGGCGCAAGCTGCTGAACGAGCCAACCGCGACGTGAATTGATTCCAATCCTCCGTTGAACGCGACTTGATTGACGCACCTCGAGCCATAAATAACTCTCACGTGATCCACTGCTGACACGTCCTCAAACTCATCCCTCACCAGCGTACCGCAAAGCCAGATCATGAGCAACCTCCTTCAAAGTATACCCGAAGGACGCATCGTACGTTCTCCTTTTTTTCTTCTCATACACATACGCTTCAAGCTGACACTAACCCCGCACTCCCAGGACTTCGCGGGCCAAAAGCTCGTGGACACCATATCAAAAATAGTCCTCATCACAGCCGTCGTGCGTCTCTGCTTCACTCAAAAAGAAAACCTGGGCTGATTGATATACCCCTTTTGTGCTTTGCAAAGGTAATATCATTCATCGCGGGCTTCGCACTCCAAGATATCCGTGTGACGTTTGGTCTGTTCGGCGCATCGACGGCGTTGTTGTCTTTGGTTCGTCTCTTTCCCTTCTCCTGCCACTGTCATGGTCTTTGCTTATAAGGGCGCTTGTTAGGTCGTGCTGCCGCCATGGCCGATGTTCAATCAACACCCCGTAAAATGGCTTGACAGCAAGGGTAATGGGAAGGAGAAGGCGAGTTAGGAGGAGGCCATGAAAATCCATGGATTGGGGCTGGGGTATTGGCATTTGTACTGTACGATATTTATTTTACGTCTTCTTCCGTTTCGGCAACATTCTCCGCTACCATTCTCATCTGTAAATTCGACAGCAAAACCATCTATCTGTCAGTGACCACACAGACTCCAGTTACCGGACTGACTAGCAATGGTTGCATTGCTGTTGCGTCAGGCTTCGACACTTTCCTTAGTTCCTCTAATTCAATGACATTATCTGCTTTGAGACAGGCCTTTTTGGATCGCTGCTGCTGATGGTGAGGAGAACCAAGATTGATTGGTAAGAAACTCAAAGATCTCCTCCTCCTTTAGTTCCTTTGTGCTGTCTTGTTTTCTAGAAGGTGGATTATGCCTCCCCATTACCAACAGTCCCTGAAGTCGACAGGGCATCCGAATTTGGGGCGGAAATCTACTGGTCCTCGCTGGTCTGCTCGTCGCAAACAGAATCTCTCACTTCCCATATCGAAACTCCCCTCCGAGCTTCTCTCCGATATTTTTTATCTGAGCGCATTTCCCATGGAGTCGCTAGCACAATCATATCCTCAAACCACTGCTAGGCGGGTTTCTCAAGTCAGCTACTCCTGGCGCATGGTGGCACTTGCATGCTCTTTCCTTTGGGGCCGCGTTATGGACTTTGCCCACGGTGGTGCACCTGAATGGACAGAAGAGCTTCTGCGGCGCGCAGGAAAATCTCCTATCGACTTTTACTTGCGATCCAGCTCCCTCAACACTGAGACCCTCACCAGGGCACTCCAACACTTCAGTCAAGCGCGAATTTTCTGCTTGACCTGCTCATCGTCATCAGATGCCATCAATGTGGACCCTATTTTGAATAGCTACCTCACTCAGCAAGCACCACATATAGAACATTTTACTCTTCAGTTCCAGGATCTGAGAGAGACGCCATTCTTACTGCCCTCCAACTTTGGGGAATACTCGCCCCAACTTCGCCAGCTTGGGCTGGGACGGTGCAACGTCGACCTCCGTCTTCCCATATTCCATCGACTAGAAAGACTTTCCGTCGACGACATCGACGCTCACATAGCACCAACGGCTGCTAAATGGCTAGACATATTGGCGAACATGCCTTTACTCGTCGACGTCAACATCAAATCCGCAACATCTGATGTTCATGAGGACATCCACTCAACTGCCCACCTTCCAAACCTGAAGGATCTCTCCATTTTGTCATCGATGCTTGTTTCTGCCTCGATCATATGCAATCTTATCTACCCAGACACCACAAATGTAATCCTCTTCTGCAAAAACGCGACGCCAGGCGTCGATTTTGAACGTTACCTCATCAAACTTTCGCGTCAAATCTCACTCTCGAATTCTCGGAGCCACAACCCATGGCTTGACATGACCATTGGAAGAATGTCCGCCACCGTCGGAAATCGGTCGGGCTACGGACGTCGGGAAGAAGAGAGGGGAAGAATATATGTGAGCCTGCGATGGCACATGACGGACACGACAAGTTGGCACTCTCTCATTGCTTCAATCATTGCCGCATTCGGGAGTACCTTTCAAGAAGTAACGTCGTTGAAGATGAATCTTGATCTCACCGTTTCTGATTCGGAGGGGTCTTTACTACCTGACCTTCTGCGCAAGTTTGAAAGGGTGGAACTTCTCAGCTGTCCCTTCGGTTCGCGCTTAGTCACCATTTTGCAACGAACCGAAACGCCTTCAGCTTCAACTGTCAGCCCAAGCGATGATGAAAGTGAACAGGATATACAAATCTTATTTCCATTGTTGCGAAAACTGATGCCTCAGAGGCAACTGGATGTCGACGATACGCAAGCCTGTCAGAATTTGATGCTCTTTCTTCGCCATCGTTCAGGTATTGGCGCCAATATCACGACTCTCTATCGGAATTGCTTCAATTTCGACATCCGGCAGACCAGGTTGTTAAAGGAATTCGGACTGCAGGTTCTAGACAACCCTGACGATGACGATGGAGTATAGTTCTTGGACATCTTCACGAGATCCGAGTACTACCGTTAGTTGGCATGTACTCCTTGAAATCCTTTTCAAAATGGAGACCTTTCCAAATTGCAAGACGCCATCTCTGAGTCTCCTTATTCGACGGGCAAGATCATTCAAGGTAGTGTTGTTCATAGATTTTAGCCACACGGCATAGTAACAGTAGGCATAGATGGACGTTACCCGCTCCACTTGCTCCATGTTCAAATCCTCAATACTTGTGGCTCTCGGGCTGCTCCTCAAGGAGGTTCCACTTCCCAAAGAGCATACTATAAAACCAACCACCATCAAAAAAACGGAAGAGAGAACAAAAACAATCAACGTACTCGAACAGAGCCATAATTGTCCATTTCCTATTATCGGCTTCCTCGTAGACCAATGATCGAGGGCCATAGAAAACCTGGGTAACAGCGTTAGGAAGAGTAACAAGAAAAAAAACAAAGCAAAACTTCGTACCTCATCGTCAACCTCATCCGGTTTTCGAGGAAGACAATGCAAGAATTTCCAGTCGGGATGAGCGCCGCCTTCTCGGCAAAGCTCTTCCGTGACCTGATACCCTTGGAACGCCTGCAGCCTCTCCGCCTTCTCCGCTTCTTGGCCCATCGAAATCCTGGCATAGTCCGCATGGTAAGAAAACGTAAGAAAAACGAGTAAAAAACGAAGAGACAAACCAAGTATCGGTGACCACCACATCTGCACCATGAACCGCCTCTCGCGGGTCCTCACCCCACCAAATATCTTTATCACACCCCAGTTCCACCACACGATCCCACACCTCTTTTGGGGCGCGGTATTGTAGCGGGCTGGCTACGCGGAGATGGTGTCCCAGCCGCGGGTACGTGACGAGCATATCGTGCAACACGTTCGCCGAGTCCCCGACGTACGTTATGGTTAATGGGCGGTCGAGTTCGGGTGTTGCGGCGGGTGGTTTGTCTTTTTCGACAAGTGGTCGGAAGAAGGCCTTGTTTTCTTGCAGGGTCATAAGATCCGCGAGGACTTGGGAGGGGTGCCATAGTGAGGAGAGGGCGTTGAGTACTGGGACGGGGGAGTATTTTGCTAGTTCCTGTGTGTAGGTGAAGTTACTTGGAATGGTATGTAAAAAAAAAAAAGGAAAAAGCATACCTCAATCTCTGAATGGTCTCCAACACGGGCAAAAATACCCTGTGTCATCCCACCAATGACGCGAGCCGTGTCCCTATACGACTCATTCACGCCAAGCTGGATATCCTCCCTGCCCAAAAAAAGCGCCCGTCCACCTAGGAGTTCAGCGCTCGTCTCAGCAGCAATACGAGTCCTAGTGCTCCGCTTCGAAAAGATAAGCGCAATAGTTTTATTGAACAGCGATTGAGGTGGCAATCGAAGTTTGGAGGCTTTATTTCGCGAGATGGTTCCGTGAGGAAGAAGCCATGGTGTCGACTGCTGCTTGAGATGATGTGAATGGGCTAGTATACGGTTTATTTGAGGGACAGAGAGGTCCGCGAGGGTCATGAGATGCGGGACTTTTGTGAGTGCTACGTTCGACATGGTAGTAGAGCAAGAGAAAAATAAGCTGAGCGCGTAAATAAACAAGGGGTCTTATGGTGAATTTCGATCAACTACAGTCTACCAAGTCCAAATTTTTCTACTCAATGAATGAGTCATTGTCAACACCGCTCGCTATTCGTCCGTCTATTTGCACCTTGACTCGTCCTTGCAGCAAAGCGCCTTGGAGCCTGACCAGCAGCACTGGCCATCTCCACACTGGTTCCTATCTACCTCCACATACGGAGGATCGCAAGACCCAGCACAATACGGGGCGTTCCCACTCCAAAAGCAATCCCGGTTGATGTAGACGATTTTTATGGTCTCGTTACTCGGGCTGCTGCGGTCTACCGGCGCGTCTAGGAAGTTCTGGGTTGGGATGGCGAATACGCTGACAGCGGTGGCCAGAGCGATGAGTATCCAGTGCGTTTTCATGATGATGATTTCGTTATGTTCGCTGGAAGTCCTTGTTGGTTCTTCAATCTCTTTGTGACGTGTCATGGGCCACTCACTTAGAGAATATCTGATGGGTTTTTTGGGTTTCTTGGTTTCGAAGCGTCGCGTCCTTCGTATCTGCAATGTATGTTGTTATACGATGTCTCGTCAACGAAAATGTGCAATGGGTTGAACGTACCTCTAGAAGATTGGCATGCACTCAGATTTACCTCTGATCAGAGGTTACCTGCCTTTATATATGTCCCTAATTATGGCATTACCCCTTGTCGCCTTGCGGCGTCCGCGTGTTGCTAGGCGTTGTTCAACCTTTCTACCGAAAATGAACATTCATCAAGTCGGAATCTGTCGGTGGAACTATACATATTTCATGTCCAACCCTGCCATGAGCCGCCCATTTCGAGAGATTTCGGACCACCTAAGCGCCGTTCACAGCTGCATTCATCATGCGTCTTTGGTGAGGATCCAATATCTACCGAAATCGATATCACTGAATTCATCGATGAGCAAAGAAGCCTGCAGTATTATTCTTCTCGAGTAACTCCCAACTAGCATTAAACACAATAGAGCTCCCCATAAATTAAAAATGTTGAGCATCAATATGTAACCATGACCGAAGAAAAGAAGAGAGAAAATAACATCGAATACGGACAGAGGAAACATAAACGTAACATGGGGCAAGGAAAGACGAGGAAGGACTAAAAACGTGAGACGTAAAGTGATGGTAAACGTGGAATACTTATGTAGTGGAGAGGGAGAGGAGCCGACTTGAAGGGAGTTCATGACAATCATTGCTTCGTTATAGCTTGAGCTCGGTCAATACCCGCCTCGCCAGCATTTGGTATTGCCATCCATCGCCACTGGCACGTCGGAATTGGATACCGTGCAATGGAAGCCACGGCACCTGTAAGAAAAAAGGTAGGTTAACCTCAAAATCCCCTTGAGCAATTGGAAAAACCATACCTTGACAATATTTATCTCAAAGCGCACGCTGAGGCTATTATTCCCCATACTCTCAAAGAGGTCCCGGTCCACCTCGCCCGTCGGCAGGGGGCTGGGACTACGTGCGATCGGAGACGTAGCTCTTGGTATAGTCGCACCAAAATCACGTGGTATCGGAGGAAGGATCTTCACCTTGTTGATGGTCGACGTAGTGTAAGCGGAGGGAGAATGTGAGCGGGGTGTCTCTGGCTGATGATCGCCCTCTGCCGCTACTCCATTGGCATGGACCAAGTTTTCCTGGTTCCCTGGGGTGACGGTATGGTTTGACGAAGGGACGTTGAAGAAGGACGAAGAACCACTGCTGGCAGTAGCAGTCAACGTCGTACCACCCCCTCCAGATGGACGACTGGGGATCTCTTTCTCCTTCTCCTTTTCGCCGGAAACGTCCCTGTCTTTTCCCTTCTCCCTCTTCATGCCAAACGAAAGCTTACTAGCTTTCTTGACGATGGATGGGCGATGGTGAGGGGTGGCATTGTCGCTTCCCGATGTACCCGTTGAGCTCTGTTGCTGATGACCGTGTCCCCGTGATACTGGGCCTTCAACGGAAGAAAGATCAATAGACGGTAGGTGTATGCACTCAAAGCCGCTCTTATTCTCCCTATATTGAACTTGCATCCTGTCAAGGACTGTACGAATATCAGCCTTGATAACAGGAGGGGGTTTCGTAGAAGTCGTCGCCACGCTAAAGACGAGGTAATGTCACTAATCGACCATTTCACCTGAGGACCAAAAAAAACTCACCTGAACAGACCCTTGAGGAAAACAGGCTTAAAGTCCTTTTCGCTTGTATGCCGTTCATCCTCCTCTTTAAACGTCTCCTCATCCCCCTCAAGATCAGTGCCATCCTCTATCCCCCTGGCATGCGCATCCTCCTCACGTTCAGCAACTTCGTTCTCTCCCGTCGTCTTTTCTTTCGAAAACAAACGTTCAGCCAAAGGTCGATGTGACGAGCTGCTGCCATATCCAGTCGAGGGTCTTCGATGTCTACCAAAAGTACCTCCAGGAGAAGTCATCAAAGCCGCACCACCTGTACTGCTCCTCCGTTCATGCCTAGTCGCCCGTCCCTGTGTGTCAAGAACAGTTGCCGCACGCCTGTGCGCATTCGCAATCGGCTGACTGACGCTTTGCGAGATAGAAGTAGCTTTAGGAAGTGGAGTCGAATCGACCTCAGTCTCTCCTGCCTTCTCCTCTTTCCCATTCTCCATTTTCACCGTCTCAGGATCATCAGGCATGTCCCCAGAAGGTCGAGGCGACCCAAATCCTCCCCTCTTCCCGACACTCCCCCCACCATGTCTCCTCGCCTCCTCGCCCCTCCCAACCAAAAGGCTCCCGAATTTTCGCACCAATGTCGCACCAGACGACAAAGGTGAAGTAGAAGGTGTAGGCGGTGGCTGCTCATCCTCATCCGCAGGCTGCCGGAACTTGGGAACATCAGGTCCAGCTGACCGTGGTGGCTCCATGATGCTGACCCTTGGGGGGGTGAGGTTGTTGCCTTGCTCGTCCACAGTCCCGCCAGCGGCACCGCCGAACATCCCTCCCCATCCTCTGCCAAGCACCGATGGCCTCTGGCTCATACTGTGGCTTCTCCTGTGTGTACTGGCTGGGGGAGCCCTGGGCAAACCGCTCTTCCTTTCCAGTGTGCTTTGGTCAATCTCCACATGCTGCTGCTGCTGAGCCTGTTGCTGATGTCTGGCCTGCATAGCCGAGGGAGATGGAGGAGGCAAGCCAGGATCCCTTGCCCTCGGTTGGGGATGGAAGGTAGGTGAAGTAGGCGAAGGCGACATGACGCTGTTGTCGTAGGACATTCCAGAGTAATGTGACGTCTCTGGGGCTGGAAGACGAGGAAGAGGCATGCTATAGTCAGCTTTACCGTTCTTATCTGCTGCAGGTACTTCTTTCCTGGGAGGTAGGGGCACACCTCCCGGCTGACCTGTTGGGTATTTTGTAGCGGCAGCATCGTCCACAGGTGTCGCAGCATTGACGACGGTTGGAGTGGGGGCTGAATCGCCAAGAATCGAGAGCTGCGAGCTAGCGAACTGCCCTGGACCATAGACACGATCCCGCTCCAGCTTTTCCCTTGCAAGATAGTACATCGAGATCAACGGATGGAAACCTCTTGTAGGATCCACGGGTTCGCGATTAGGATCTGAAAATGACGGATGAGCAAGATGATTTTGGGAATTGGGGGGTGAACGACTAAGTGGGCTTCCAGGAGGGGATGTGGCGGGTGATGACGAAAATATCTTCTTGCGGTAATACTCAAACCCTGAAAATCTTCTCGTTTTCTTGCCTGCTGCAGGGGTAGAAGGCTCGCCCTTGTAGGTGCTGCTGTCATACGACATGGCGAGACTCGACTTGGAGAGTGTATCGCCCCACCGACTCATCCCGCCACCATTGCCGTTGAGGTTGGCCCCGAGAGTGCGCTTGCGTTCCCAGTACTGAACAGCACGAATATACGCATCCGATTCCAAAACGTCGATGAGTTTACGCTCTATTTCATCCTCGGTTCCAAATTCGAAACCCTTCATTCCGCGGATTACTTGACGGTCGAGCTCATCCGAGCGCAGAGGCTCACGATGGACGAGGTGGAGTGCAGGGGGACCATTGAATCCGCGGGTCATCCACGGATGGCTCATGACCTCAGGAAGGGTAGCACGGGCTGCAGGGTTAGTCACCAGCATTCGAGACAGGAGATTCTTGCAATCTTGAGAAAGGTCAGTGGGCAGTAAAGAGGTCAAATAGTTGGTCTACGTACCTGCGCTCAACCAAACCGGATACTCCACTAATCCACGTTTGATCTTGGCGTGCAAGGCTGGCATGCTTTGATCGTCGAAAGGCACTTTCCCGCAGACCAGAACATACAACACTACTCCAAAGCTCCAGACGTCGACCTCGGGTCCCGTATATACTTTAGCGTTGAGGAGTTCGGGCGCTGCAAAATAGAGCGAACCGCAAAACGTCGATAGATGGGTCACAGGGTCATAAAGATTTGAAAGGCCAAAATCAATGATTTTGATATTTCCAGTCTGTGATATAAGGATGTTTTCGATCTTGAGATCTACAACGAGAGATCAGCAGAAGTCTCATGAGTAGCCGAGATGAAGGTATGAAGGTTGTTGAAAAGGTTGAAGGACGTGGGAGGTTCGTGAGGAGGCAAGGGTCGGAAGGAGAACAGAAAAGTACAACTATCAGGGAGAGAAGGGTGAAACACTTACCTCGGTGGACGACGTTGTTCAGGTGGCAGTACTCTAAAGCACTGCCGACTTGACGGGCAAACTTCCTCGCAACGCGTTCCCGCAACCGACCATGACTGATGATGTAGTCGAGCATCTGACCCCCATTGACGTACTCGAAAACCATGTAGTAGTGATGATGGTGGACAATCATCTCTCGCATGCCACAGATATACGGGTGGTAGAGGAGCATGGAAAGTGCCGCTTCCCGGAGGGTCCGGATCTCTTTTGAGGCATCCTTTGAGGCTTGTCGTGCTGCCGAGGAGTCTGTGCTGTTGCTTCCGTTAGGGACTTTGGTTGCGGGGTAAACGCGTGGAAGGATTTTGACGGCCAGCTGTATAAAAAATTCAGAATAGTACTGCGGCTTCCAATACAAACGACGCACCTTCTCTCCAGTGACGTTATGAGTGGCCAACTTGACCTTTCCCATACTCCCTGCACCTAGAGTTTTGCTAAGGGTATAGTCACCCAAGATTCGGTTTGTGCGACTGGGCCTGGTGGCGCTCTCGTCTCTGTGCCTCCTCCTTTGCGCATTCTCATCACCAGCAACAACTTGAGACCGGTCCCCTTTCGCATCCGAAGAGCTCGATACTGAAGCAGGGCCCGTCGGGAGAGCAAGTTGTGGAGGCATGGATACGGGTCTGGGTCTGTGGGAGGATGGTGTCGTTCCTCGGGGAGTGGGCGCTGGTGATGGTGATGGTGGGAGTGGCTGCGTATGTGTTGGCTGCGCGATACTCATATCAAACTCGTGGCCACCAATCAGACCTCCGTGAGACGGCGTCGTTTGACCTATTAATCCGGTCTCGACGTCCTCCGGAACCTGATTAAGCTGAGGTGCGAGAGATGTGGGGTAAGATATCATAGTCGTCGTTGTTGTTATTGATCAGGTCTAGGGTCGCTGGGATGGGGTCCGTGCGCGCTGGTAACAAGGCGGCTGTCGGGCTGGGCGCCTTGCTGGCGTCGGGAAAAGGAGCGGAGAAGGTGAGCGTAATATTATGGTTTGGGCCAATGTCAGGTTCTGCCCGTGTTGTCCTCCACACTTGTATGGTGCAGTTTACGTATCCGCTTATTTTTTCATATTTTGCCACCTCTCAGTCTGTGCTAAGGCGAACAATGCAACACTCAGAAGGCGAGATACGAGACATTGCCAGGAGTCTAAGAACCAGCTACAGACATTGTCTCGAACTTTTACTTTTTTCCCGGCGCTTAATGAGCAACCTTTTCGATGTACGGAGAAACTTCGTAGTAAGCTTGACGATATGATATCATACTGTTCGCTGTGCAGTAAAAGTAGTACGCGGGTCCAGGGTCTTCGTATTCCCTTTTCTAAAGGGCCTTTCCGAGTTGTGAGAATACGCGCGCCTAATGATTTGGCCAATAACTTGGAGACTGGACCCCCATCGAAGCTAGCCGAACAAAGACAACATCGACTTGACACCAACAATTTTGCAAGTTGGAGGGCCCATAGGTGGGTTGCAGGCATCTCTCCTGGTGAAATAAAAAGGCGTCTTTAGTGTCGGCTTGGCCGTCAACAGATGGGAAAGCGGAGTTGTCTTTGTCACATAGCCACACCCAAAAAAGCAGCCTTGCCACGCCCTGACCACGCATCTTTCCTTCAACTTCCATCTTGTCGTCTAACGCCTGTATCCCAACCAATCACCCTTTCCTCGAACCATTGTCTAGTCCGAAGGAAACAATGACAAGATCACGCTCACGAATGCCTCAATCCGCGGACACCGCTAACAATGATTTAGCTCGCCCCAGCTCTGACCAGGCCGCACCTATCTTGATAACTCCATCTTCAACCATCCATGCGACGGACATAGCCATGCCACTCACCAGTAAGATGCTTTCTAATCTTCCTGCCCCAAAGTGAACATTGATTACTTATTGAATCAAATTTGCAGGTGATCAGGTTGGAGTCCCTGGGGAAGGAGCTGCCAAGCGCTTACAACAACTTTTGCCTGTCTCCACAGGTCTGCATGAATCCCAAACCTCTATCATTCATCATTGGTAATGCTGATATAGATTCCCTGAGTTCTCACCTGCCTACCTCTCCACCAATTGCTCCTGTTATGAATGTAGGCCTGGGTACTGAAATGACTGTTGCCTGTGATATTGCTCAATCTTTTTGCTATAAATTTGATATTGACCTTCACCAATTCCAGTTGATCAGGTTGGAGGTCCTGAGCAAGGAGCTGTTGATTTCTTGCAACACCCTTCTCCTATCTTGACTGGTTCATACTTGCTCCAAATCTCAATATTTTATTTCTGATAACTCTGTATAGATCCTGCAAGTTCTGACTTGCCTATATCTCTACCCATTTCTTCTGCTCTGGATGCAGAAGTGATGGCAGCCAGTCAGTATTCTTATAAATAGTTCAGGTTTGCTCAAATGTAACAGACCATGCAGAGTTCCCCACAAACATTCAAGCTGACATTATACACAATGTGAATGCAGCCCCTAACTATGGTTTGTTGCATTGTATCATCACATTTTATTGATTTCTTATACCTCAATAGGTATTATCAATCAAGGTAAGAAGTAAGAAAAGCATCACATTCATTTTAATATTATATCTGGTTGGTAGGTGTGGACCCAAATATTCAAATCACACTTGAAATGATTAGGGATGAACAACTGGGTATCATTGCAGGTTCTCATTTCAAATATACAATTGACTTCATTTTGTTGCTATAGTGGAGAAGATTTATAAGTGGCTTTCTCCACCCAAGGAGTCTGTCAATTACAATGCTGCATATGCAGTTCTGAAGAGTCATTTGGACACCTGTCAATGGTTTCTCAATGGAAATACATTTTCTGAGTGGGTCAAACAGCCTGGCTTTCTCTGGATCAAAGGAAAATGTAAGTTTTCTGCCAAAATTTGTGAATTTATATGTTATTGACAGTCTGTCCAGCTGGCTCAGGCAAAACCATTCTAAGGTTGAGAATTTCAAGATTTTTATAAAATGAAATTGAATTTTTTTTTTTGACAGCTCAGCAATAATTGACAATGCTCTTCAAAGATTCAATTCTGCTACTGCATATTTCTTTTTTGATGGAAGAGACTCACAGAAGGATTTCCAGCTGCATGATAAACTGATGTGATCACTTATCTGGCAATTCTCTCTCAAATGGAAGGATGGAGTGCCTAAAGTCTTGGTGAATCTGTATGCTCATTGTGGTGATGGCCATCAGGAGCCAACTCTGGATGATCTACAGAATACTCTTCAAATAATTCTTGATGGCTTTAGCTCTATGTTCATCATTCTGGATGCTCTTGATGAGTGTATTGAAAGAGAAAAGCTTCTTAACTGGATTCAGTCTGTTATTTTGGAGAAAGAAATGAATCTAGGGCTCCACTTGCTAGTTGCTAGTCGCCCAGAGCAGGAGATTGAGGACAAGTTCAAGTCCTATCATTATCTTGACTTGATGGAGGAATCTGAGAATCATGATCTTGTAGCCTACGTTGACTATCAGCTTCAAAATGACTCTGATTTGCAAAAGTGGAATTCTGACACTCAGGAGCAAATAAAGTTGACATTAATGAAAAAAGCAGATGGAATGTATGTTTATTACAACATGTGAATGACAGAATAATTACTAAGTACAATTTTAGGTTTCGTTGGGTTGCATTACAGCTAAATGACCTCAAAGAGTGCCAGACCAAGTCTGATCTAAAAAAGCAGCTAGCTAATCTACCTCAGGGTTTGGATAAAACCTATGATCAAATCTTGCTGGGAATCAAGGAAAAAGATCATGGTTATGCCAAAACATTTTTACAGTGGCTGTGTTTTGCTCTCCGTCCACTGACACTAACAGAGCTGGCTACAACTGCTGCTGTTGATCTTTGTGCTAAGAATGAACCAGACTACAAATCTGATAATGAATTTCAAGATATTATGGATGTCTTAAAGATATGTTCTAGTCTCATTATGACATCAGATGGTAGGGTTTAGAATTCTACCAGATTGAAATGAGCACTAATTATTATATAGGTTTCATCAAGCTTTCTCACTTTTCTGTCAAAGAATATCTTGTATCTCAGTATATTCAAGGTCATGCTGTCAAGCAAGTCAGAGACTTTGGTTTCAATGAGGGGCTATCACACTCTGTCATCTCTCAAATCTGTCTTGCTTATCTTCTGCAATTTCATACATCTGAGCCACTTGATATAAATGTGAATGTATCCTTCCCTCTTGCAGAATATGCAGCAAGATATTGGTTTATACATGCACATTCTGGTAGCAAAACTACATCTCAGTCATCTTCAATATTTGGATTGGAGATGAAGCTACTTACAGAGGAAAATACTACTTTTGTGAACTGGGTTTGGCTGTGCGATATAGATGACTATTATTGCTCAAATATACAAAAACAGAGGGTTGAGATTGCTAAACCACTATATTATGCATCAATTGCTGGATTGACTGAGGCATCACATGCTTTGCTAAGAATGGGAGCAGATGTCAATGCACAAGGAGGCAATTATGGAAATGCACTTCAAGCAGCATCAAATGAAGGCCATGAGGCCATTGCAAAGCTCTTGATAGATAAGGGGGCAGATGTAAATGCAAAGGGAGGAGAATTTGAAAATGCACTTCAGGCAGCATCATATGGAGGCCATGAGGACATTGCAAAGCTGCTGATAAGGAAGGGGGCACATGTAAATGCAAAGGGAGGAAGCTATGGAAATGCACTTCAGGCAGCATCATATGCAGGCTGTGAGGCCATTGCAAAGCTGTTGATAGAAAGGGGGCAGACGTAAATGCAAAGGGAGGAGCATTATGAAAATGCACTTCAGGCAGCATCATATGGAGGCCATGAGGCCATTGTAAAGCTGCTGATAGAGAAGGGGAGCAGACGTAAATGTACAGGGAGGATATTATGGCAATGCACTTCAGACAGCATCATATGGAGGCTGTGAGGCCATTGCAAGGCTCTTGATAGAGAAGGACACAGATGTAAATGTACAGGGAGGAATGTTCAGAAATGCACTTCAGGCAGCATCATATGGAGGCCATAAGGCCATTGTAAAGCTCTTAATAGAGAAGGGGGCAGATGTAAATGTACAGGGAGGAATGTTTGGAAATGCACTTCAGGCAGCATCATATGGAGGCCATGGGGCTATTGTAAAGCTCTTAATAGAGAAGGGTGCAGATGTGAATGTACAGGGAGGATATTATGAAAATGCACTCCAGGCAGCATCAAAAAGAGGTTATAAGCCCATTGCAAAACTGTTGATAGACAAGGGAGCAGGGGGCATTTTTAAACATACATGGAGGAGACTATGAAAGCACACTTCAGGCAGCATTGTATGATGATAATAACAAGGCAATTTGAAAGCTGCTTATAGACAAATTTCTACTTTCACAATATCTACATCTTCAGTCCTGCACTTTATTTGGTACTACCCAGCTCTCCATTTCCAGCACCAAACTTTTTCCTATTTTTAGATCTTTCCATTCAGTATAAATAGTTTGGTAGCTTGAACCTAGGCCATACAAACTTAGTTCAATCTAAGAGCCTCAGAACCAGTTTTGAAGTCTATGTTTGACTTTCAGCTTCTTTGTCAGCATGCTGTCATGAACCATCCCCATGACCTATCCCTGTAACCAATAGCCCTCACT